CATACTATTATGTCAGAATCATGAGCTGCTAACACCTAGATAGTTTATAAGCATTGAAATCTAGCAACTGGATCTACTCTTCACAAGAACACTAGGGTCAGGTTGTAACAGGGACAAAAAATAACAAGGAAAGCATGTTTATTAGTGAGTGTTGAGTTTCACTATGTATGTACTACATATACTACTACCTTATGCTAGCTATATTTAAGCAATAGTTCAAAAGCAAAACTATTAAGTTGTTGAATTTATTTTAACTCAAGATTTTTTAGATTAAATGTCATCTTTGAAATGAGGTTCAGTAAACTACATCATAAGCAATCATCTAAATGAGACAACAGAAAAGCACTATATTTTGGGAAATAAACATATTGTTATCTATTCTTTCTTCTCACCACACTCCTATTTTTTTTTACCAAAATAAAGGTTCTTTACCTGTTTGTAAGTGCCACTGGGTAAAATCGAAAATCTTGCATTCTTCCAACAAATTGCTCTAAACCTAAGAAAATATACTATAAATAAGTAATCTATGGAGCAGAAGGCAGCTTTGCACTGCATGAGAGCACCTTTAATTCAGTACTTAGAGATCTCTCTTGCACAATTACCCCTCCTGAATGAAACCATCTTGGACCTGGACAAAACTATAGAGGGCAGTGACTTTTTTTTTTTTTTTTTTGATAAAAAAGAATGATTTATAACAACTTTATAAGAACATTTTGTACCTATCTCTTTTCTGATTAGAGAGGTGGCACAAGGATCGGCTCATTAGACAGAAGTAATGAGCCAGACCATGTGCCACCTCTAATTAGAGAAGAGATACAGTAGGTACAACTGTACCTATCAATTTATACAATAAAGATAAAAAGCATTTAAAAATATTCCTTTCTTTTATATATTTATTAATTATCAAGTATTCAGAATCAAAATCACAACAAAACACATTTCCACACACAAGCTTTAAGAAACGGGGCACAGAACTACTTTCTTGCCCAAGAGGACAATAAAGTTGTTTAAGTGACAGTTATATTTAGGAGCTTCAAATTCTGCATGTTCCTGAAGAGCAGTAGTCAGTGTTCTTATATCTGCCGAGCCAATAATTTGTGGAAAGCAACAAAACGTCCCCCAGCTGTTCTGCAACGATCATGTCATGCTGTAGTATCATATAAAATTCTAGATGTAGATGAAGAGTAACACTAACAGGCATTACTGGAGGCTGAGGGGTTCTCATTCTGCTAGTGCTTTACTTGAGTGTTGACAGAACTGAAGAACATGAACAGCCAGAAATCTTCAGCTCTATTCCTGACTCTGGAGAGGAGTGTAGTCTAGTGGCCACACACAATCCCATTCTGAAATAGTTTCGTATATTTATTCAGAAAAACTATGACTATAAATTAATGGAATGTGTCACTTTACAGGCCCACATTTTGGAGAACGCAGGAAAACCTACCTACATGCAGTAACACAGAGTAAGTTATAAACCTACAAAACTTCTATCTTTCAGCCAATCTTTTATGAAAGCTAATTGTACAATAGGAATTTTCTCCTGCAGGAAATTACTTTGCAGCAAATAGATACCTTAAAACGACTGACATTTTTTTAACCACATGGTGCACATGTTCTTTTCAATATTCCAGTGCATTCCAATAAAATACTACAAGATTTACCTGTGAAACTTTGTCCAATTCGCAGTGTACCATCAGCATCTGCAACTGTTCCCACAAGAATCCTTGAATCAAAAGGTGTGTTGTCATCTTCCCAGCCATTCAAGAAGAAATTAATTCTGCTGTGATGCACCTATAGCATCAATGCAAACAGACAAACACAAACTTCATTATGCAATCACTAAATTCTCTATATCTTGTGTCTATCACTGATTAACCACTAACATTACTTTGACCTACTTGCTGTGTATCTTTTATTTTCAGTGCCTACTGAGAATAGATACCTCTTTTCCATCCATTAGTAATCCAGTTAAGATCATCACTCAGATGCACAGAGTATAACATTTCTACAGTGGTTAAATCAAAGAAGAATCTACGGTACAGTGATCTGGTGGGGAGGGGGAAGAGAGGAAAAGGAGAAGGGTCTGTTTCACAAGGTACAAGGCTGGTTACAGCTACTTCACCACTTCAGGCCATGGGCACATGTTACAGCTGTCAGAGCTCTTCTCGTACACATCAACTCATACAGGCCTCAAGGGGCTATCTACCATACTCAGGATAACCAAATGCAGCACATTTCAACCAGGCCTCTAACACCCCTCCAAAATGCCTCCCTAACCCCAGCATGTTTGTTTCTACAAGGGCTGAAAGGAACGGTAGAGGAACTGGCTACATCTGCTTTACACCCAGTGGGTAGTTCCCTTACATCAAGGGAACCCTTGGCTAGGAATATGCACTCAGCCAGCACCCCAGGGTACCGTTTTCTGCAAGCCTTCCCTTCCCTGCCAATTCATTTTAAATTTGAGCTAACGTTCATAGAAATACTTTATGGCATTCTCCCAGCTCCACAAAGTCACAAGATGCTGAGCTTTTAACAAAGTACTTTTTTTGTATTAAAAATCCTCGTGTTTAGGTTACATAAAATTAGAAAAAAAAAACCCCTTAATGATATGGGAGTGCCTGACAACCTTCCATGTTATGACATTCAATACTCATTTAAAAACTACAGACACATACAAAATGAAAACCGAAGGCATTGTGGCTACAGTCAGTTTCCCATTAATGAAGTTAATGATAGAAATTAAGTTCAACTTATTCAAAACTTTTGAACACTGTTGAATTGTTTACTGAACAAACTTAATCTCATTTATTTCAGAAAGTTATTTACTTGCAAGACTGCAGTTACTTGAATTTTAGCAATATTTAGCTTGCATAAGGCTTATTTCACAAGAGCTTGATAGCCTTCAGATTTTGAAACATTGTTTTGTTGTTGCCAATTTACAGAGTGTTATTTCCACTTTGCAGATATGGACGCCTTGTGAATCCTGTCTACAGAGGCCAAATAAAACTAGAGTGCTTTAGCCTGTCTTGATACCCACGCTAATCAAAACAAACCTGGAATAATTGCTTCCATAAGAATAATATGTATGTGAGGACAAACAGAAGGTTTACAAGCCAGAATAGTTTGTTGCAAAGAGGGAAAGCCAGAACCTGAAAAAATATCAATTTGAAAACCACAATATAAGCACTCACAATGCTATTCCACCAATAAAGTCTTTCAAATTTCAGACCAAGATAAACAGACACAATTATCTATAAATCTGAGCTCAAATTTCAGCATCAGTGCCTCAGGCAACATGAGTCTATCAGTATTTTAAGAAAGAAAATATGAAATGAGATGCAGATTTTTGTTTGGAATTTTTTTTTTTATTCAGGCTTCACACAAAATTGTACGGATTATTTTTTTTTCTCCTTAAACTGCACTTTCAAACACACAGATGCATACTGAGCTCTGTTGCCATTTCCAGATTGAGTCAATATTTCCTAAATTTAGACAGCAATATTTATTGCCCTTCCACTGATGGAAATTTGAAGGTTATTATCATAATTACTAGGGCTTAAGATTTGTTCAAAAAGTTATTGCATATGAGTTTCACCACTCAAAACACATCTCTCCATTTTAAATTATCCTTTGTGTTGACACATCAATGACCTAAATACAACAGTTTTTTATTTAATTTTAATTCAAAGCCCTCTAAACATCTGATCCCCTATTTGCAAGAGCCTAAGTATATGTGTATACTGTGGTTACATCGCATTTTTTTTTCTGCATCACATTTTTTACAGCCTGTTACTGTCATTTGGTGTTTGACTGTTATCATCATAAAAGATACAGGCTTTTCTACTTTGTTATTTGTAGCATTATCTCATGTTTTACAACATCTTTGCACAACATGCCCGCACATGAAATATAACTAGTGAAAAGTTCTCAGTGGTATTAATGCATAAAAAAGAATGTGGTTCCATCTCTACTGTCTTTACCCAGCCAAAAGCTGATGAACAGCCAATTTTCCTTTATCACATTAGCACAGCCATGAGGGAAACACATTTGTTCTAGTCAGCTACACTAAAGATACTATTACCAATCTAACATATACATGTTTTATATCAGCAGTATTCTCAGAGTATGAGGGAGCCAACAATATATTAACACTAGCATGACAGTTTATTTAAGAAAAGAAAATTGTCTCTGTAGAGGGACAGAAGTTAGAAATGTATGGCTAAAGCTCAGTGTCACTGGTCTAATAAAGGTAATAATTCTTAAGCTTTCTTTATAGCAGGTAACACTCCTGTGGCAGCTCTGTCATATCATTCAAATAAAAATGTTGTCTTTTACAAGTTTAAAAGTACCTTTATTTTTAGTCAGATATGAAGCATGTTTCCGCTTTCCTGTTTTCGCTGCAAAACATTTATAAGTGGAATTCAGAAATGAGTGCACTCGCCCCCATCAGCTCCTTGCAAACTTACCCTCTCAGCTGCAGCTTCTATGGGACCTGATTCTGCCTCCCCCAGTGGTAAGCAGAGCGCTCACCTCCATGCACCCCTACTAAAATCAGTGGGGCTATTTATGACTTAGGAGTGACAGAATCGGGCCCTAAATGGCCAGGTATTTTTCCTTGTTGAAAATAGGTGACTGACGACAATTTTAAATCTCCCTCCCCCCCTCCCCCACCACCAATCTCTTTGTATTAAATAGGATTTAGAATAGTTGGGTTTAATATAGCACATCCCCAAGGTAGCCCTAAGCACTTTACAATGCTGAATTGGATATCAGTAGTGCAGTGACTGTGTAAGGCAAAGGCAGCAGTCATTATGCATTTGGCAGTAGCTCAATGTAATGATCCCCCTGCTGGTTATTAAAGGGGGTATGAATATCTGACATGGGAGGAAAATGTAGGAGGGAAACCATGTGTGGTATAAAAAAAAAAAAATCCCAGAGGCTCTCCACTGTGGGAAGAGAGGAATGTCGCAAAGTTTGGTGTCGGTTTAGACTAAGCTAAATAAGAAGGCTGGCACTGAATCGGCTGTTTGAAGCGGTTATTTAAGGTCTCCTGACCGTTACCATTAAATTGCACACAATACCACAGAAATAAAAGATGAATTTCACTCCTGACTAGGACAACAAGATTATTCCCCTGAAGTCTTTAATTAATAATATTCAATAGGAATTTGTTCCAAGAGAGAAACAGGAGATGGGAAGGAAAGGCTGGCCTCATGGTTGTGCAGAGCACAGGACCAGAAGCCTGGGACATCAGCGCTCTAATCCCAGCTCTGAAACCATCTCTGCCTCCCGTGCTTCCCCATCTGTCAGATACTTAGCAAATCACCTCACAGGGAGGTGGCAAGGATTAGTTACTAAGATAAATTCACCCTGCAACTACATTAGCCTCTGCCAATGCAGAGCCTAATACCAATTCCAAGCAACGGAAAATCCATTTGATGGTGAACCGAGATGGTGAAAGATATCCATAATCTTTCCTCTAATAGCATTCTTGTTATGATCCAGAAGAGTTTCAAAAATGAGAGATGCTGGGCCAATGAGCTGATAGGCAAGTTCCTTCAGTGCATCCCGAATGAAGCTCTTATGGTCCTCCGTCACGAGCAAATTGCCCATCAGAGCCAGCAATACCAAATGCAGTCATTTCCTACCTAGGAAGAATTCCCTGCCCTATGGGTCACTGCAGTGCAGAATGAAGGAGGACACACTGAAGCACAAGCTAGTGCTTATAAAATGAGATAGGGACAGAAAAGGCATTACAACTGTTTATTTTCTCACCTAAAGGTCTGTTCTATTCTGACGCTACCCATGGAAACATAATAATGTCATTTAACATGAATTTTGCCACTTGGTTTGGATCAGGCAGAGCTGTCAGGTAAACAAAAGCCAGTTTTTTTCATGTATTAAGTGCTAACAGAAACTTCCACTATATCACAGTAACCCGTATGGCAAAAATGAAGCACCACAACCAAGTACTACACTTCAAAGTTGTACTGGCTAAGACTGAGGGACTAACTATGGCAAAAAGCAGAAGCAGGGGAAAGTGTAGGAGCATGGTAAGCACGTATGATACCGCTCCTGAATACTCTTTGAACCTCAAACCACTGGCAACTCAGACTTCTTCAGCCAGCCATGGTTTGTATGTTTTTAGTAGCTTTCCATGATTTTTGTATAGCTGCTCCTTGAATGCAAAAACTTGTACTTCCCCCAAAGACACTCACTGTGTAGATTAATTCAAGAATACTGTGGGGTTTTCTCTCTTTTTTTAAGTCTTGAAATGTAGTGTTATCTATAGGTATAATGTATAATGGTATAATAAATGCAGAAATAAATAGTATAACAGGTACAAATAAACAGTATAACAAGTATAAAAATATTTAGTATTTCAATAAAAATTATCAATAGGCTTTCAAAAAAAGTCTGATATTCTTCTTCATTAACACAGAGGCAGAACATATTTTGAGTTTCAAGTAAAAGACACAGTTATATCAATTCCCCTTTTTTGAGCTACAATGGCACTTCCCAAGCCAAAGCCAATTTGAGGGGAATTCTGAGACCCCAATCTACAAAGTTTTGGCTTTCAGGTAATAATACACACACATATTACATCACAACATACATGTGTGATATTCAGCAGATTTAAGCAGCATACGCTTTTTCTTCACACCCATTAATCATCTTGTCATCAAAATGTCTTGTTACATAAAGGCAAGCGAGACAATTTTAGTCTCTTCCGTGTAGAACTGAATTGCATCATTTCTGCCAAAATAAATGAAGTGAATTCTTCCTCAGTA